GCTTACAGTTGTTCACAGGAGGTGTCATTAAGTAGTTACTATCTATTTCATTACTCTCTACCACATCTTTCCTTTTACAGTCATTTATAAAGTGAGAGGTAGAAATTATATGTTTCATATTATAAGTCTTTATGACAATAATTACTTTTCTGCTTGCTTTCCACAGGGAAAAATGACTACAGAGGCAAGAGTGTTTAATTTTGATGATCATTTTGACTGAGCTGCAGTACTTGTCTGTCAATCAAAACATTTTGAAGGACTGCAAGTGGAGTTCAATTGTCTTGAAGACATCTTTCTTTTTATTTTCCAAAGAATTTCCTGTCTAAATGACTAATACAGAAAATGACATATTACATGATCATACTTATATAGGATGTGTGAATGACAGTGTCCTTCTTGGCTTAAAATTGTTTATTATGCATTAAGGTGACTAACTGTAATAAAGAGAAAAATAGCTAATATTTCTCATGTAAATTGTGTTACTGAAGTCTTATTAATTAACTCTTTCCTGAGAGTATCTTCTTAGGTAGAAATAAAACTTTTTTTTTTTTTTTTTCCTAGTAATTAAATGGAATTCTAAATTCATGATACAATATTTTGACAGTTTATTATCTCCTAAGATCAATCATACCTTGAGAGTTTTCTTTAGTCATGTTTGTGACATCAGCCATTTTTGGCTTCAGATTATAGAGAATGTGCTGCAATATTTGGAGTAAAATCTTTTGTTGAATAGTGTGATTGGAGCTGAAAGAGAGAGCATCCTGAGCCTCAGAACTGTCCCATGAGACTGAGACAAGAAATAACTGCAATTAGACGCTGACAAAAAATAAACAAACAACAGATAAGGACTGAGATAATATTGGTTGGTAACCAGATAAACACTAAAATCAATTTTAGACAAACATGTTTATCTTTTCAGTACTTGGCAGTAGACGTATGTTAAATAGAAAGCAGCTGACAAGTTTTCTGAAGCAAATACAGTCTCATACAACAACAACAAAAGACTTGAAATGGTAATATAGATCATAGAACTATCCACTCTAAATGGCTAAGTTTTAGTATTAACTACACCATAAAGCAGTGTACAAAGCAATGTAAAGGCTACACAAAGGACAGTATTTGTGAACTTGTTTTTCAATTCATTACCTATTTAGAAAGAGAAAAACATAGGTTTTTGTCAGCTGTTTTTATTATCGACAATAAATTGAAGACATTTTCTTCAGAAGAAGAAAAGCCCAAAGAATTTGATGGGCTTTCACATTACACCTATCAAGGCAAATAAATAAATAAATAAATAAATAAAATCACACATTTGTGGATTACATGCACAATCCAAAAGGCTGTTAAAAAAAAAAAAAAAAAGTCATAATATTACCAATTTGGCATTTGTAGAAGCACTGAAATTTCATATGCTGGCCAAGGGGATTTGATCATCTTCTCTATATTACTCATTATATCAGCAGTAACTACAGGCTTTGATAATTATTCCTGTGAATTTCCATTTTTGCCCAAGCTAGCATCATGCTGACGAGGGAAGCAACCTGCCGGTGTGTTTTTGCTGAGCATTGTTTTTCCCTAGCTGTCACCCCAAACGTCCAACCCGCTGCACATCTGACGCAGGGCTACAATCCTCACTTGACTGAGTGACGCCTGGGGACACAGTGCAGGTGTAACGTGCCCTGAGCCCTGCCCAGGTGTTTCAGTGGGCTGGGACAAGCCCAGTGCTACTGGGAGCTGCCGTGGGTCTGCGTGCCTCCCCGGTGAGGAAAAGCACGGAGGCTGAGTCTACCCTGAGGAATGGGGTGGGTGGGGTGCTCCTTTATCAGAGCTAAATGACCCAATAAAACATTACTGCTGTTGTTCTTCTGATTACATACAAATATTTCTGGAAGAAAGGATTCCCATTCAGTATCAAACAGACTTAGATATATTGCTGGAGGAAAACATGCATGCTTAATAATAAATGCAGATTTTTATTTATTTATTTATTTATTTATTTATGTTTCTAATGGACATTTGATTACCAATGCAGGAATCCTTACACTTAAAATAATAATGGTGATTTAAATATTTATACACATATATATTGCATATATGTTGCATTTCTGTTTTACACTGCCATACAAAATCCATATATAAAATACACATTTTCCAACAAACCAAACAATAAATATTTTTTTCTGTCAAGTAACCTAGGTGAAGAGCATGCTGTATTTAATGTCTGAAGGTTATAACCACAGCAGAAAACCAAACACAGCACGATGCTAAAATATTTCACCCCTGGCGTGCCTGATCTGTTCCCAACAGCACAGGGCTGAAATTTGAGCCTCCTGTGAATGCTGAGAGGCCCGCGTCTGCAGCCTCAAGTGTGGCCTGGGGATCGTCTCTCTGCGCTCTCATGAAGTGCCCACAGCATGCAGCCAGGCCAAGCACATACAGTGGGGCTGTGAAGCGTGTGGCCTAGTTAACCACAGCATGCTGCCTACAACCACGCCTCGACAGGGAATCCTGCAGACAGGCAAACTGGCTGGGACAAAACAACAGCTTTGCTCGTATAACTAGTTCTAACTAGTTAACTGTTTAGAATGAAAAGTTTACTCTGAGATCGGAAAGCCTAATCTCCTCTTCCTGTATTTTCTCAGTCCTGTTGTGCTTTCTAGTTTTAGCCAGTTCTAGAAGCACTAAATACGTGTGAGACGCTAAAATAAGTCTGGAGACATTTTAGAAAGCCGGTACTAGGGTGGCTGGCCCCACCTCGCTGCTCATGGCAGGCAGCTTACCGCTGTGAGCGTGAACCAGTTTCTCAAGCACGGTAGGCCACAACCCAGCATGCTAACTTACACCAAAACCGATGTCGGCTTCACTTAATGCACTCAACCATGAATTACAACGGCCAAATGCTGGCCTGATCTTGCTGACTCTGTGAGAAATCTGAGGGGGAAGAAATTTGTTCATGTTCTACTATCTTGTTCATCTGCTCTGATGGTGGAGGTTTCTCATTTTTTTCCCACTGGGATTTTATTTTATTTTATTTTATTTTATTTTTTATTTTATTTTATTTTATTTTATTTTATTTTATTTTATTTTATTTTATTTTATTTTATTTTATTTTATTTTATTTTATTTTATTTTATTTTATTTTATTTTGCTGATGGGCATCACCATTCTCCACCCTGTACATATGTGTGAATTGTGTTTCATTCAGGGCTCTTGCTGCAGCATGCGCCATACTAATGCCTAGCTGTATAGGATGGAGGTTTAACGGAATGGGGAAATGAGGAAGAAAGAAAAAGAAAAAGAGAGAGAGAAAGAGTAGTCACAGCTTTTAAAAACCATTCTTGATGTAAGGGGAAGCACACCATACCCACAGGATAAACAAGAGACTTGAAAGAAGGAAAGAAGGAAAGAAAGAAGGAAAGGAAGGAAGGAAGAGAGAAAGAGAGAAAGAGAGAAAGAGAGAAAGAGAGAAAGAAAGAGAGAGAGAAAGAGAGAAAGAAAGAGAGAAAGAGAGAAGAGAAAGAGAGAGAGAGAAAGAGAGAAAGAGAGAGAGAGAGAAAGAGAGAAAGAGAGAGAGAGAGAGAGAGAAAGAGAGAGAGAGAGAAAGGAAGGAAGGAAGGAAGGAAGGAAGGAAGGAAGGAAGGAAGGAAGGAAGGAAGGAAGGAAGGAAGGAAGGAAGGAAGGAAGGAAGGAAGGAAGGAAGGAAGGAAGGAAGGAAGGAAGAAAAGTTCATGTGTTGTGATTGGAAACAAGGCTAATAAGGAGACAGGCAGCACCCTAGCTCTGAGCTGTACCTTAGACAGATCAGGCAGTCCTCCATTTCCATGGCCACCAGCCCTATTGACAAAATTTTTAGAGCTCTTGAATACATGAATGCCAGCCTAAAATGCTAACTGAAGTGGATTATTTTAGCACTGCAACAGTTGACCAAAAGCATTTTTGTAGGTCTTAAAAAGAAACCACGCACTGAACACTTTACTTGATACCTCAGCCTGAGAGTCAGCATATAGCCAAACAAAACCACATTTCCCTACAAGTCTCTTAAAAATTACTGCCCATTAACTGTTCATTTTCTTAGCCTGAAGTTGAAACCACAGCACTGCAAACACTGCTGTTAACAAATGCTACTTGAGGTTTTGACTGAAACCTCACTCAGATGCAAGATTTGTTGGACGTTCTCGGAGAATCAGCTGTGAGTCCAAGCCCTCACAACAAGCCCAGGCAATAGTAGAGTGCAAACATTGCACTACAGGAGCTGCAAAGTCACAGGTGCTCCTCCTGTGTGCCATTTCTGCAGGGGGACCTGGGGCTGCCCCTCACCAGGGGCATCCCAGGTTGGCCCCACTACCCCTTGGGCAGGACCCACTCCTGGGATGCTGTGTGGTGGAACCATCACTGCTGAGCAGAGTGTGCAAGGAGAAGGATTCACCATGTTCTGCAGCTTTTCTATTCATGGCCTCCTGGCATCAACAGGATCAGAAGATCAGTGTTTGTCCTTGGGAATATGGAGGATTTTTAAAATAAAAATGGACAAAACTGCTTAGTTTACTTAAAAATGATCAAACAAAGGTGAAATTTAATGTATTATTATTTTTTTTCTATTCTTTTTTAGACATTTAGTCCAGGCCTAATATGAAATTTCCTAGCCCTTATGTTAGAGAATAAACCACGCTGTGTATGGCTTCATAAAAGCTTAAGTGAAAAGTAATACATGAATATTCATAATTTATATTGGCATAGAAGTATAAGAAATTCCTGAGTAATATAAAAGGGCAGTGCTATTTATTATTCTAAATTTTTGTAGCTCTAACACATTTTATTTTTGGTTTAATTTCAAAAGAATGCCAGAATGTGTAAAAACTTGTTTTTCTTTTAATATGCCAGTACTGAAAGCAAAATGAAATTAAAGTTTCCTCATCTTGAGTTTCTATTTGAATGTGCAAGTTAGCCTGACTGTTTAACAATCTAAAAGAGAAGAAAGAACTACAGCTCACAGATACTTGCCTGATGATTTATCCACTACTCAGGTAGTTACTTCTCAGTGGGACCTGCAGCATCAGTTCAGTAAAGGTGAATATTCACACGAGAAGTGAGACTGAAGCAAGTTCATACAGGTACACAGGTACACTAAAGAACAACAGATATCAAAAAGTTAGTATTTACAACAATGGATTCCACTGAAGCAGGCTTATTTTATTAGCTGAATGCAGAATGGCCTGGTGAATTTCTGAGTTAGTGGGTGATTTTCTAGTAATTTTGCATAAGAATAACTTTTCTAACTTTCCTAGAGCTTTAATACATACTTGACATGCAATTTTATTCTATCTTGTATTCAACAGAAGTAGTGATTACTACACAGGAGGGAATCATAGAATCACAGAATGGCTGAGGTTGGAAGGGACCTCTGAAGATCATCTAGTTCAAACCCCTGCCAAGCAGAATCACCTAGAGCACGTTGTGCAGGATGGCATCCAGGTGGGTTTTGAATATCTACAGAGGAGACTCCACAACCTCTCTGGGAAACCTGTTCCAGTGCTCTGACACACTCACAATAAAGAAGTGCCCTCTCATATTCAAACGGAATTTCCTGTGCTTCAGTTTGTGCCCATCGTCTCTCATCCTGTTGCTGAGCACAACCAAGAAGAGACCATCTCTGTTCTCTTGACACACTCCCCTCAGCTATTTATAGTCATAGAATGGCTTGGATTGGAAGTGACCTTAAAGATCATCAAGTTCCAACCCCCCTGCCATAGGCAGGGATGCCACCCACTACATCAGGTTGGGCAAGGCTCCATCCAGCCTGGCCTTGAACACCTTCAGGGATGGGGCATCCATAACCTCTCTTGGCAACCTGTTCCAGTGCTTTACTACCCTTACAGTGAAGAATTTCCCCCTAATGTCTAGTCTAAATCTGTCCCTTTTTAGTTTAAGACCATTCCCTCTTGTGCCGTCATTATCTGTTCAAGTAAAGCGTCCTTTTCCATCCTTTTTATAAGACACCTTTAAGTATTGAAAGGCTGCAATGAGGTCTCCCCAGAGCCTTCTTTTCTCCAGGCTGAACATCCTCAGCTCTTTCTGTCTTTCTTCATAGGAGCCCTCTGATCATTTTTGTGGCCCTCCTCTGGACCTGCTTGAAGAGCTTCACATCCTTCTTGTGCTGGGAGTCCCAATTCTGGACACAGCACTCCAGGTGGAGCCTCACAAGGGCAGAGCAGAGGGGCACAATCACCTCCCTTGACCTGCTGGTCGCTCCTCTGTCAGTGCAGCCCAGGATACAGTTGGCCTTCTGGGCTGCAAGCACACACTGCTGGCTTGTGTCAAGCCTTTCATCCACCAGAACCCCCAAGTCCTTCCCTACAGGGCTGCTCTCAATGAGTTCTTCTCCCAGTCTGTGCTCATGTCTGGGATCGCCCTGACCCAGCTGTAGCACTTTGCATTTGGACTTGTTGAACCTCATGAGGTTCACATGGGACCACTTCTTCAGCCAGTCCAGGTCCCTTTGAATGGCATCGCTTCCTTCTTCGGCATCAACTGTACTACTTAGCTTGGTGTCAACTGAGGGTGCACTCAATCCCATCATCTATGTCATTGATGAAGATATTGAAAATCACTGGTCCCAAGACAGACAGATAGGGAAGAATCAAAGTATTTTATTCTTGACAATTTTTGTAAAATTGGTGTTTCCTCGGTGTTTTTGCAGAACTTAATTATACAAGAGCTGAAGCATTAATAACTATGATGGTGGAAGCTGGGCTTGAATTTCTCTAAATTGTACAGCCGCAAATTCATTAAATTGAGATATTACATTGGTGTAAACAAGAGAAGAATCAGGCTAATAATCTCCAAAATGGAAAACACATAACCAATTAATTCCATATTATTATAATTCTTATGGCATGTATAAGATAGACAGAGGATCTCAGGGATTTGCCCGAGGCCACAGATAGAGCTGCAAGTGAATCAAGGATTAAAACAGAGGAGAAACTGATTATCATTCAACTCAGTTTTTCATGTAGAGTATCCAGTAAAGATCATACATAGCTTGATCAGATACATGAGACTGCCTGACCCTTTTTCTTATTTAATAAAACCTGTCTAAAATAATGGCATTTTAAAAATACGTACATGTGTATGTTATAAATGATTATTTCATTTTACAGTCTTCGATAAGTGTAGATGCTAAATAGGTCAGGTGCAGATCCTTCCCTGTCAGCACAATAATTATTGTACATATTGTTCTTAAAACTGATGCTATCAAGAAAGAATGTGTCATTGAGTTTCATCTTTTACATGAAAGAAAGAAAAAATAACAAATCATATAAGTGATTAAACCACACCAGAATGAACAATGGAGAAACATTACATTGAAGAGGGAGCCTTAGTATCTACTGTTACCATATGTATATACATACATATATACATATATATATATGAGAGATATAGGCATGCACATACACACAGTGTGGATGCAAGAGTAAGGATTTTATCGCCTGCAACATCAGGATAATAAACTCTATAATGTGGTTCTAGCTGTATAAAGACAGATCAAAGATTCAACCCAGGTGTGGCTCCTGAGTTTCATTGCTCAGGGCTAATTATTCACAGAAAGTCCCCACCTTAGAAAGTTGTCTAGCAGGTTTATCTTTTGGCCTGTAGACATTTTAGAGAAGACACTACCTAAGCTCAGCTATTTTGTATGACACACTACAGCACCCAAAACCATTTCACCAGTTTTATGAGATATTTGACCAACTGCAGTTATATGTGAGTGTAGTTTTATCTCCCAGAAGCAGACAGGAGTTTCAAGACCTTAGCTTACATTGACCTCTATTTAAGCTCAATTTCAGTGAACAGGCAAAAAGCACAATATTGTAGGCACTGCTGAAACTTTTAACTTTATGAAGAGCAAACTTACTACAAACATTTTTTTGTGAACATGACCACAATATGTGAAACGTTGCAGTACTTACAACAATATAAGGTAATTCATTTATGAATGCACCAACTATCACCATAACTTAAAAACTATGTCTTTTAGAGACCTTTTTTTAAAGAGAGAATTACCTTTATTTGTTCATGAGTCACCATGAGTCACCAACCACAACCAAGACTGCTCCAGTCTGTCAAAAAAAAAAAACAACAAACACCTCTGTCATGGGCAGCAACTTAGAGCTGAAGTATCAGGGACAATCCTGTTTCTTGTTACAGTGCTCTGAATCAATTCAACATTTTCTTCTGGATTTTTTTTTTTTTTAATTGTACAGCTGAACCATTCAGGATCTTCACTCAATTGTTTGAGCAAGAACTTGGTAGAAAACATTATTTCTCAATAGTAGCAGCCCATTTATGAAAATAGTTTTCAATAATAAATTTTAATAGAATATTTTTTCTAAAAGTAGAGATTAGGGGGATACTGGTCTGCCTCTGCTCTCATTTGAAATACCGACATTTTTCTTTTCTCTGCTCTGGTGTTTGTATATCTACTTGTTAGAAATCACTTCACAGTACTGGAAAGTACCAGCATCTGTCACATGCAGTTTTCAGAAGATAAAAAAGCTAACCAGTCAATTTGAATGAATATTTGAATTTAGCAATACAATATGAAATTCTGAGTGAAAATTCTCTTGGAAGATAATACAATTTCAGTCTGACTCAGGAACGAGTAATGATTTCACACAAGAGGACATCTGAAGAACTTTTCATCCTCAAATGGTATTGCGAGCATCAACAAATCAATTAAATATGTGTTTAAGGAAGGTGTCATTGTGCCTGTTTCATGATGCAGATACTTTATTACAGGAAAGAGAAATATATATGAGCAATTATGTGAGCTCTTATTAGGATCAGGAAGGCTGGACCTTTAATGCTGTGTTTAGTCCACTAAACTACACCTGCCATAAAATATTGTGTCTGGTTATTAAGGGCTATCCCTACACATAGACAGGTTGACTGGGTCACTGGACAGGATGCTCTGGTATGGCTACAGGCCACCAAAGACTGGCTTCCTCTTTAGGCAGGGAAGTATCCTCTCTTCCTCAGTAAAAACAATATTTAGCCACTTAACTTTATTAGGTGGTTATAACACCCATGAATAGGAAAACAGAAACTGTTTCTGTGTCTTGTGGCTTCACAGGATTATTCAGCCTTTTGGGAAGATAGAATCTGTGCTGGAATACCAATGCACTTAATACTTTTGATACCAATAAGAAAGCTTTGTATGATTATATATATATATATATATTTATTTATTTATCAAGAGGGTAAAGATAAAGTTCAAATAAAATAAGTAACACTTTTTTTAGCTAATTCTGATTCCAGGTGTGATTTTCCCCTTTGTTCAGCTTGTGCATGATCTTGGCTATTTGTACCAGATTATAAAATCACAAAGAACTCTTCCTGCCTTTTCATCAATGAATTCATTTCTTCCTCAATTTCCAAAGCTTGAGATCCATGCACTATGCAATTGGGAAAATATTATATTACTACCTTTTGGATAGCACTATCCATAATTTTTTAGAAGATCAGTGTATCTTTTTGTTATTTTTTCAGTTCAACAATATGACATAAAATAATTCAAATAATAATAACCCTGTTAATTTTCAGTTTTTATGTACATATAGTTATGTACAATAACAGTTTTTATGTACATGCTTTCCTCACTATGCTACAGATGGATTTTCTGCAAGAGTACAGTTTTCTTGTAATCCTAAAGAAAACAGTAAGTTCAAAAAGATTCTTCATGATTTTGTCAAAACAGATGTTTAAAGTGACATCAGCTTGAAGAAGAAAGGAGTTCTGGAATCTGAGGGACAGATGCATGAGAGTGGCTTGAACCATCAGACTAAGGGTTCATCTGATCAGAGTCTTGGCATAGATAGAGAAATAACATTATCTGAAATAAATAAGAACTTTAAATACTTTAAATACTTGATTTTTGTATCATTTACTTGATTTTAAGTATTTGGGTTTTGCACGTGATGTAAGATTTCTGAATGATGCGATGCTTAAGATGATTTTAACGAGAGGGATTAGGAGGTCTCCTACCAACTGGACTGTTAATATAGATTTTGATGACAACCTGCAATCTCCATTAGTTAAAAAGCAAAGTGTTATGAGACTTCATATGGATGGTGGTCTGAAAATTAATCATGGACTATTAGTTATTCTATATTAATTATTAGCTCTTTTCTGCTCAGTAAAACCAAGTCACTGAAAAATATACATGTATAGAAGTAATATCTGTCACTTGATGTCCTACCTTTAGTGATACTTTTGATACTTTTTTTTCTTTTTTTTTTTTTTTTTTTTCAAGTATCTAGTAGTAAAAGGCTAGATTAATCTGTATCATATGTTAAGCAAGGTGGTTAGATATAACTTTCCTGACCTTGGGCTCTAATACATGTGGACTATAATAAATTGCATGCCTGGTAACTCCATTTGGATGGGTGTGGATTAAGAAAATGCTAAATAAGTAGTGTTTATAATAGCCTCTACACTATTTAGTGTAAATAACTCTAAATAAACAGCATATAAAGCAGCAAAACAAGATGACACAATTTGCTACTATTGTTGTACACAGCACATAAATCATTCCTTCCTCTGCAAAAAGGGAAAGCAGAGAGAGGAAGAGGTTGCAGAGAACTTCTCAGGGACACAATGCCTCCTGAGGGTACCCTAAGGTGAGCTAGAGCACACTGCCATGCCTGGCTCAGAGATATGACCTGAAATGTCTGTTAAACTAGTATGGAAATAGGAACAAGGAGAAGATTTCATGTGAAAAGATTGGAACAAGCGTAGTTCACAGATGCATACATGAAATTAGAGATAGAAGATCAGAATGGGAGAAATACTGTAGACTAAAGTCTTCAACCGTAACTAGAAAATTCCAGTTTTCTTTTAAAGTTGTGTGTTTCAGAGGGGAGAGGAGGTAAAAAAGAAGGACTTCAGAAAGAAACTGTGGGCTATATTAACACACAGTGTTTTCAGGAATTTTGGAAATATTTAAGGAGTTAAAGCTGGTAAATGAGAACCAGAAAGTTAATGTTTTCATGAGCTTCTGCAGATGACACACCTTATTTTAACTGATTATTATTCAAACCATGAACTATGAAGATAATTGCTTTCCTGGCCAAATGACAAAGGAATTCTTATTTCCAGTATATGCACTGTTGAATGCCGAAGGCATTGTACATGCTAAGGCTAATGCTTTGCTGTATAATAGACACCTACTGATTAGTAGTTCTCAAGCTTAATTTGGTTATGGTATGATAAATTAGGGAGTGTCTTTCTAAGTAAAACTGACATAATGCCCCCCTTCATCCCCCCCCAACTGAAACTAGAATAAATTTGTGCTTCCAATACAGCAGCTCCAGAAAAGTTAATTACATTAAAATTAAAACATTTTTTTGTATTCAAATATTTGGAATTATAAAATATATATATATATATATATGATTCTATTCTTCTCGTGCTTGAGTACTGTGCCTAATTGTTTTCCAAAGTCACATTAAGCAACATGACTACCAGGCTCACGTGTGGCTCCTTTGTCTATACTTTTCCTCAGGGGAAATTATATTTTTTTCTTTACATTTTACTAGTGCTTTTATTTGTCAGAAGCCAAAGAAGAATGCCTTTAATGATTGGACTTCTGAATGGGATACTCGCTTTTCTCTAGTTTGAACCCTAGCACAGGAAAGGAAATTCAATACATTTACCTGGGGGAGGTTTCCAAGAACATTGATGCTGGAGCGTCACTGTAAAGTGACTGTATTGATGGAATCTCACCAGTAGCTGAGGGTAAGTTAGCTTAATATCTCCTGCTGAAATGAGGCTGGGCTCTTTGTTTTGGGAAGCATTCATAAAAGAAAAAGGGCAAAGTGTTTTTACATCTCCTGGGTCTTGGACCTAAATGTGACTGCCTAACAATCAGCCAAGACATGAAAGAACATGCAGCTGGCAGTTTAGTTTATCAGGATATGTATGTATTTCTTATTCTTGATAAAGATTGATGAGTTTTTAATGCTTGTGTAAAGTAAACCTGTTTGATCCAAATCAAGGTTCCCCTTGTAAATATGATTTACAACAGGTTGACCATGAGCCAGCAGTGTGTCCTGGTGGCCAAGAAAGCCAACGGGATTCCAGCGTGCATAAAAAGGAGCATGGCCAGCAGGTCAAGGGAGGTGATCCTCCCCCTCTACTCTGCCCTGGTCAGGCCTCACCTGGAGTACTGTGTCCAGTTCTAGGCTCCCTGGTACAAAAAAGACAGGTATCTTCTGGAAAGAGTCCAACGGAGGGCCCCAAAGATGATACAGGACCTGGAGCATCTCCCCTATGAGGTAAGGCTGAAAGACCTGGGTCTGTTCAGTCTTGAGAAAAGAAGAATGACGGGCGATCTTATTAATGTTTATAAATACCTGAAGTGTGGGAGACAGAGGGATTTGGCCAACCTCTTTTCAATGGTTTGTGTGGACAGAACAAGGGGCAATGGCCACAAAATGGATCACAGGAAGTTCTGTGCCAACGTGAAAAAGAACTTCACAGTGAGGGTGACAGAGCACTGGAACAGGCTTCCCATGGAGGTTGTTGAGTCTCCTTCTCTGGAGATATTCAAGACCTGTCTGGATGCCTACCTGTGCAACCTGCTCTAGGGAACCTGCTTTGGCAGGGGGGTTGGACCCGATGGAGGTCCATTCCAACCCCTACAATTCTGTGATTGACACAGCCTTGGACTTTGAGGCTGTGAGAAAAAACAAGAGTTTGGGAACTGAATCCAGCTTAATCTAGTGGGACTGGGCAGTCACATATCCATACATCTACATTGGACAGGAGCCTGGACACTGTAGGTAACCACAGTAAGGCCCTGAGGACTGCTCAGATGAGCAGATGCTGAGGAGCCTCGTGGACACCAGAGGACCATGCACAGTGACATGCAAAGTTTTGTGATTACCCTCATCCATCAGTTACCCCTGGACAAGGCTAAACAATTTGATGTGTAGCAATCTGTCTAGAGTACACTGGAGTACTTTCTTAATTGGTATGTGCATGTAGTATTGTTTACTATCTGTCAGCTCTATTGCAATGGATCAGCCCAGGAAAGACAGTATGACTCCATGGCTAGATT